GATGGTAGTAGTGGAGAGTAATTGAGAGAGACAAGTGTTTCTCATTTTGTGCCTTGAAACAAAAAAGTAGAAATTTTTTGATTCTTTTTTTCTATTTTCCAGCACAAAAATTAAATCGGTTCATCTGGAAACCAAAAAATAAATCGATTTTAATAAACGAGTTTCTTATACATTCGTGTCCTCAAGAACAAAAATTAAAAAAGAACTGATTTCGAAAAAGTTATCATGCACCCTAATTATAACTTTGGGGCAATCCAGATTCTTTGGATATTCGCACAATTCGTGCATGGAAAAAGATCAGTACAAGTGTTGGACTAATCCTTAATCAAGTAACATAAAATTATCCAGCTTTGTCCTGAAAAATCCTCTTCAAGATTTGAATCTGTATTCTTTTGAAAGTGTGTCCGTCCTAAGACTATATTGCCAATTGAACAACCTTCGAAATTAATTAGGACAAGTTTTAAATTGTTTAATATTAATCAAAATACAATAATCAATTTATTTGATGATTTTATATAATGTTACGTATATATTTTAAAATTAAAAAAAAAAATCTTAACTAATTAGCAATAAGAGAAACTATAATAAAGAAATAAAAAAGGGAAATAATGATTTGATTCGTAAAATTAGTTTTTACTTACCTTTTGGTGCAAATTGCCTTCTATCATTTATTTCTTCCTTCTTTTTTCCCCTGCCTACCATGTTGTTTAGGGACATATCCTTAGAAATAAGTATCTACTTTATCATGCATGAATGGTTGTGACAAACTAACAAGGCATCTTTCCGGGGCACTTGCAATGTTCCTTCCAAAAAGGGTGAAAGGCCGCTTCTACCTTTTTTGGGTGGTCCATATAGGATTTTGAACCATACACTTCTCTTTGGGTTGCCTACTTATTCTCTATCTGAATGGCTAAGTTCCCAAGGAGTCGGCGCAACTCGCAAGCATATCTATCAAAGTGAGCCATTTTTGTGGGACAGAGAAAAAAAATCTCATGAAATTGGTAAATACTTTCTTGTTAATGTTCTCATTGGTATGCTAAGTTTGGTACTCATGAATAGATAAACATAAACAAAAAACAAAAACAAAAACAGTTAGCAGATAGAACGTAAGCACATGTAGCTATATTTTGACAGTTTCACATGCCGTTCTATGTAGTTTGACCTTTTAAACAAGTCTAAATTTAAGTAAGTAATAAAATATATTTTCTTATTATCAGGCCTACACTTTAGCTAATTACAAAATTTATAACCAAAACGTATTCAAAATGATTTGAATGACTCAATGTAATTTTCTTATTGTATCCAAAAAAAAATATGTAATTTTCTTATTTTAATTTGCAAAAAAGAATGAATCTTTTTCGGTTATTAAAATACTTTATATGAATGATGCATACAAATGGACAATTTGAGCCGGGCACTTAACCCCAAACCAAATGATACTCCGACGCATTTATATAGCTTGAAAACGCTTTAAAAAAAGAAATTAAATTCTAAAGCATAAAGTTTTTGTTCGCTTTACTTACTAATATAGCAAAAGTATCATGTTATAAGTAGGGGTGTAAATGACATTGGTCATACAACTTTGCATAGTATCATGTAAGATAACATATTGTATAAGATAATATTATTCAATATTTGATAATGCACTGTATAATATTAGATAGGATAAAATAAAATATTTTTTATAAAAATACCTTGTAATAAAGATTTATATAATTCTTTGTTGGGGTAGGATATATTTACCATCAACTCTTACAATAAATTTAATCACCGTTAATTTCTGTCAATCTAACGGTTATAATTTATTGTGAATTAATAATTAATTAATTAATAAATGTGACAAAATAAACTATTTTGGTGGTAAGTGAATCCATTCCCTTCTTCCAAATATCTATTAGGATGTCCAAAAAATATAACTATTTTATATTTTCTCGAAAAAATTTAACTTTGCGAGAAAATCAGTGTGCTATCGTCGTCGGCATCTCATTAATGAACTTCATAGCTTCACTTAGGCGATCAGCATTAAGGGTGGCAATATGGGTTGAGCCCGGCAGGTCAACCCGTCAACCCGTCAAAATGGGGCGGGTTGGGTTGAGATTTTTAACCCACCAACCCACCTCAACCCGCCCCGCCTAGAAGTGGGTCAAAACGGGTTCAACCCGCCGGGTTTTAAATTTTTTATTATTTTTTTTATTTTTTTACAATTAGGTAGTATTTCATTAGTACTTAAATTTTTGTGATATTCAATTTTTTTTATCTTAGTATTTTCTAGAAAAAATAAAGAATAACAATTTTATTTATGACAAATGTTATCAATTTATAAATTCCTAAAGAATGTTTGACAAATATTAGTATACATTTAAGATTGAGACTAAAAAAAATATAGAGAAGTGTGAAATAAAATAAAATAATTAAAAAAATTCATAAAATATAATTTATTTTTGAATTTTAATTAAATTTTTTTTAATTGACGGGTTGGTGGGTTGACCCGCCAACCCATCATAAAACGGGGTGGGTTCATTTTTACAACCCATATTTTTTGACTGGTCAACCCCCCGCACCGTTTTTGGCGGGTTGGTGGTGGGACGGGTCAACCCAAATTGCCACCCCCTAACCAGCACGACCCAAAAGATCAACCATGGAAGCATAATGCTCTGCTCCTGGATCAAACCCAAAATCCTTGCTTATTCTATAAAAGAGATTGATTCCATGATCCACAATTCCCGAATGACTACAAGCATAAAGCACAACAAGAAAGGTTATGTCATCAGGCACTAGAGCCACTTTCCTCATCTCATAAAAAACCCGGAGAGCATTTTCACCACGTCCATGCATGCCATAGCCTACGATTAAAGACGTCCAAGAGATAACATTTCTCTCTGGCATGCTGTCAAAAACAATTTGAGCCGTATCTACATCTCCAGATTTGGAATACATGTCTATGAGACAATTAGCCACAAACAGAATGACAAAATCATAACAATTGCACAACACATAAGCATGAATTTGCCTACCAAACCTCAATGCTACCAAATGAGCACAAGCTAAGGACACGTGATAAAGTAAAATCATTAGGCTTAACAGAGTTATCCACTTTGAACATCTCGGAATCATCAAACACCTTGCGTGCATCACAGAGAGCACCACATTTCCCATACATGGCCACCACCACATTATTGGAATCAAACCTAGATCGAAAAACGACAGCTTGGAGGGATAGATGAAGGGCAAGCCTTATTAGTTGATTCCACAACAAAACGGATGATGGGGATGGATGGAGGCGCTCGAGAAGCGAAATGGCGTGGAGAGTGGAATTGCATAATATGTAAGTAGCGATGAAGTTATGACTGCAACTATCTTCGTGTTCTTGATGCAGGCAAAATAGTTATCGGAAAAGGTTTTGGTGGTTGAAGACCTACGATGCACGGACACGGAATACGGGACACGACGCGCCGATACGTTAATTCTAAAAAATATGATATTTCGACACGTTGGGACGCGTTTTGATATTAAATAAAAAATTTAATATATATAATATAATTTATATTTAATACATATAAGAGTCCATAATAAGTCATATAACCAATCAAATATTTAAATTTCATAACATAAATATAAATATAAATAATTTTTCGTACTTTGTTAATTTTTCATGTCAAATTTCATAATAGAAGAAAATTAATTTATAAATTATTTCTTTTATATTTAGTTAACAAAATAAAATTAAGATTAAAAAAAAAACGTGTCTGAGCGTGTCCGAGCGTTGACCGCGTGTCGGAAAAAGTTGACTGCATGTCGGAACGTGTCGGAGAGTTGACCGCGTGTCTCCAAATGTTGACCGCGTGTCGGACGCGTGTCCAAGCGTGTCCGTGTCAGACACGTATCCGATACGCAAATTTTAAAAAAATTTGCGTGTCCGTGCTTTCCAGTTGAAGACTAATCCGAGGAGAGAGAGGCATTCTCTTGATCCTACTTTTTTTTCAAGAATTTGCTTGTAACAGGTTTAAATCCTGACCCAAGCAAATCCTTGAAAGTTCAATTGTCAACTGAGCTACCCTCTGGAGTTACATATACATCATTTTAACATATTAAAGAATTCTATTGTATAATTTTAATTATACAATAATCATATCAAATAATTAAAAATATCATAAAATATAATTTAAATTTATATTATTAGATTTTATACATTACACCAAATTGCCCGTAAGTGCTCGTTGGCAACATAAAGGAATGGTTCGAAGGAATATACCATTTAGGCAAACCTTTTTGCTGTTACACTACAATAAAGTTAGTAGGGTCCAAACATTAACTCCGGTCCATCATCCTACGACGGAAATTCCTCAAACACTCAACAAGGTACCGCATTCCACTTTGTGCAAAGATGGGAGATCACATGGTCATCTTTGGGCCACACCAAATCATCTAGTCCAATATATTTGATCGTAGCAATAACAATTTAGTATCTTAAATGATGAAGGAAGAAAGTAATCGATAACAAATATTAGATACAATCTTAGCATTTAATTTTACTTTCATTTAATAGTTTTATTTTATTAGTCGTGTGAATGATTTGATATAAGCGACTATAAAATTGAATATAAGATTTATTATTATTTATTGTCTAAAATCCATCCCGATTTCCTAATTACTTGAATAAAAAGTAATAATATTTGAGTGTTTTAAATAGAAAAAGTTGACGGAATTTTTTTTATAAAATATCTAAAATTGCAAATTAACCATAATCATATGTTCTAGAAGTAAAAGTGCAAGTAAGGCTAATTCTTAAAACGCGATCAGAATGCAAGAATCTATATCTAGTTTTTACTAATTAGAAATGTGGATCATGGTAGATATTAATGTAATTGTTTTGAGTAAAGAAAAAAGAATCCCAACATCGATGCCACGTTACATGAAGAACACAAACACCAACTGTACGGAGTTGGCACACAAACACAAAAGAAGAAACAAAAGCAACATATTTTTATTAAATCCCTCTCCTTCATAAACCCTTCTCTGCATGTGAATTGTGAACTCAAAAAAAGAAAAAGTAAAAACCCATTGCAAACCTCTCTCTCTCTCTTTCTCTGTGACTCTGTGTGTCTCTGTGTCTCTGTGTTTTGATCTCAAATTTTGCCACCAACACCATGGCGGCTGTCCCAGTATCGCGAACTGATCCACCAACAATGATGCCACTGCAACCGGCGCCGCCTATGCTGGTCTCCGATTCATTCGCCAAGGATGCCATTCTCGCCTGGTTCCAAAGCGAGTTTGCTGCATCCAACGCCATCATCGACGCCCTCTGCGGCCACCTCGGTCACATCTCCACCACATCCTCCGACTACGACTCCGTCTTCGTCGCCATTCACCGCCGGCGGCTCAACTGGATCCCCGTTATCCAGATGCAGAAGTATCACTCCATAGCCGACGTGACTCTCGAGCTACGCAAGGTTGCAGAGAAGAAAACGGAGCCCGAAGGTGCGAGGAAAAGTGAGAGTGTCGAGAGTAGTCTCGATGAGAAAGCGGAAATGAATAAGGAAGTGGTGGAAAGGGTCGGAAATGGCGGTGACGGAGCTGAGGCGGAGCCGCCGGAGGAGTATGATTCGCCGGACAGTGAGATTACTGATTCAGGTAATAAATTGAAAAGTGGTTTTCTTTTCTCTGTTTTCAACCTCATTCATGATTCGAGTTTTAAGCTTTAAGCTTCATTATTGTCTTTGATATTATTTCATTTGAAAAGGAATTGAAGGAGATTCTGAAATTCAATTTTCAGAAGTACAAAAAAATTTCTTTTGTTTTTATTTATTGGATATTAAAAAATATTATTATTTTTTTGGTGTGTTATATATAATCTAAAGGATGAAACTTTTCTGTGTACCTCTTGAAAGGAGCAAACTTTTTTGTTTTTTAATTTTTTTTGTGTATTCGAGTTTGGTAAAACAATTATATCAGAAAAAAATTTATCTTTTTTTCCCAGTTATATCGCAAAGAAATCGAACCAACAAATACTTGGCATGAGAATTAGTTTTATAAATTGTTTATGCATTTTCTTCTTTGCAGTCAAATTTCTGTTGCGCAATGGTAGACCGCAGACGTCGTTCAACGTTTTGATCCATTTAATTTTTTTTTTAATACATTTAATTTCCAATACTCTATTTAATTTCCATTTATTTATTTAAAATGGTTTGGTTACTTTTGATTTTATATAAAAAGCGATGATATTAAAATAAGGGGGTGTTTGTTAGGAGAATTTTTTTGAGATTCTCGGGAAAGTAATAGTAGTAATCTTATTTACCCACATTGGTTTATGAAGCAAAAAAATTGGGAATCTTATTTTTTCTGGATTTCGTTTTGTGTATAATTTTCTTCTAAAATGCCATTCAAGAATGGTATTCTTGAAATCTCAGGTGTTAGGAATATTTTACATTTTTTTGAAACAAAATATTTTGACCTATCAAACAGCATTTTGGTAATATTTCCAAAAAAGTGATTTTTTTATTATATTCTTGAGAATCATGATTCTCGGGTATAAAATTTTTTTTTCTCTACCAAATATTTCCTAAGAGTTTAATGTTATAATTTTTTTTTTTTTTTGCTATCCCACTAATCTTTTTATTTTTTTTTGTAAGGAGACTTATTTATTTTTATGTAAATGTGTAAGTAAAAAAAATTTCTGTTGTAAAACAGAAATATTTTTACTTAAAGTAATTGCATGCAGAGAATATGGTTGATATATTGTTTTCAACGTATTTTTTATTTTGGAGCAAGGTTTGGGTGCATTTGGTGGAAACAGTGATCATTTTGTCATTGTTGACCAAAAAAATTATCAGACTGTCACGTCAACAGTAAATTTTGTCAAAATACCACGTGACATATTTCTCTACACTGTGTAGTGAAATATGTGTGCAAATAATTCGCTACACAGTGTAGCGAAATATGCCACGTCAAAACCAAAAATGTCACGTGTTAAAATTGTAGAAATTCGCTACTTTACCAAAAATGCCATGTGTCAAAATTGAAAAAATTTGCTATATAAGGTAGCGAATTTCTACCATTTTGACACGTGACATTTTTGGTTCTGACGTGGCATATTTTACTACACTGTGTAGCGAATTATTTGCACACATATTTCGCTACACAGTGTAGCGAAATATGCCACGTGTCATTTTGACAAAATTTACTATTGGCGTGACATTCTGATAATTTGTCTGGGTTGACACTTTAGTCACTAGTCACTGTTCGCATTCGGTGTTACGGTTAGTTGGGGGAACAGCGGATACCACAACGTTTGATGAAGGAGACATCTAGAAATGTGTGCAATGATTTTTATTACAGGCGGCGGAACCATCAGAGCCTTTGTTGTTGACATCACGTGAGTGGTTCGATCTAATGGTAGCGTACCACGTGCTGGTTCGGGTTTGAATGAGTGTGGGTAGTTGGGTTTTGACAAATTTCGGGTGCTAATCCCTATGAAAAGACCCTGTTGAGTTTCAACCTGTCCAAGTTCGCGGGTCAACTCTGTCCTGTTCCCACTTAATGGGTGAAGGATCCGATGAATTGGTTTGTGGTTAGGACTTGGGAAAGTAGAAAAGTGAACAATGTTCAGATAAATGAAAACAAAACATGCAATGGCCTGCCAAGTTTGTGTCTATTAAATGGACTTTGGGGTTGGGACATTGGTATTGGTAACAAGTGTTTAATGGTGAATTTCAAGTTAACTTTGTTAACTCATCTAATGGTAATTTAACAATGCTTGGTGTTCAGTTTGATAACCAAAGGCTTGTAGTTAAAGTAACCATGGAATTCCCTTTCTTTCTAAGTATAAATTTAAATAATCAAATTTCTTTTAGCTCAATTGGGCGGTGACAACCCAGGATGTGTGTAATATAATTTAATAATGAAAGAGAGAAAATCATTGCTTTCTACTTGTGAGTACAATGATTTAGATTTTAGATAGAATTGTGTTGCATTTGAATTTGATATGTCAATTCACTCCCCTTCTTTTGCTTAGTGTTGAAGTTTGCATGGATTTTTTTTTGGACTGGTGAGCAGGATCTCAAGAAATGCACCCTACTTTGATGAACATTATTAATATATGTTCCAATCATGAAGAATGTGAAGGACGTTCTTCACAGATAAAGTTGACAAAAGGTTTCGCAGCAAAGGAATCAGTGAAGGGGCATATGGCAAGTTTTTTCCGTCACAAACTCAATACACTCTTTTTAATAAAGAAGCCTGGATTCATAAAGATGATATCACTAGTTTTTGTAATAAGAAGCAACTGGATATTGCTGATTGATAGATGGTTGCAATTAGCAGGTGAATGTTGTGAAAGGATTGAAGTTATATGAGGACATTTTCTCTGAATCAGAAATCTTCAAGCTGACTGATTTTGTGAATGAGATCCATGCTGCTGGCCAGAATGGGGAACTCTCAAGTAAGTCACCATTTACTCTTTCTTTCCCCATTTGGGTATTCTCATGTTTAATCTCTTTATTTCATTGCAAATTTCTACGTTTTCAATTGTCTTGGCATCTGCCATCACAAATGAAATATCAAGACCATATATGGCAGCTACACTTTATTTGTGGTCCAATGGTTTAATGTCCTGCCCTCAATGTAGGGACCACGGACTTACACAATGGACAGCAAAGTTATTTTAATTTATTTCATAAATCAATATAGTACATGAAGTATCAGGCTCTATATTATTCTTAATAATGAATCGAGTGTTTTAGGACTTAAAAACTGCTATCTTTCTTGACCCTGTTGTGACTGTATGTCTGTATTTCTTCACTGTATTCGTTTTGACTTCTTTTGTTGCCAATCACAAGACAGGTTTAGACAGAGATAATGATTAGTGCAAGCTGTCCTATTCTCTATAGTCTTTAACATACTAAGTCTTCTTGAATAAATGTAGGTGGAACTTTTATACTGTTCAACAAACAGATGAAGGGGAACAAGAGAGAGCTGATTCAGCTGGGTGTTCCAATATTTGGACAGATAAAGGACGATGACAATAGTAAGAAGAAATGTTTAAAAGGAAGATTTCATAATTTGATAGTCTTTCTTCACATTAACAAAACTGTAATTTGGTTCTTCTAATCCCAGATACTGCAAAAATGACTCTAAACGACAAGGATAGTAAGAAATTCTGTTTTTCTTTATCCATTTTTGTTTACAGGCAATATAGAGCCTATTCCAGCACTTCTCCACAGTGTCATTGATCACCTTATTCAATGGAAATTAATTCCAGAGTACAAAAAGCCAAATGGTTGTATCATCAACTTTTTTGAAGAGGTAAATATTTCATGCTTTCCTGATTACTTCCCTTATCCTATATTAGTCAAATCTCAGAAAGTCTGAGCATTTTTTTGTGCAATGGAGTAACCCTTTAGTAAAGTTTATACAATTTTGTAATTTGTAGGGGGAATTTTCTCAACCATTCCTGAAACCACCGCATTTGGATCAACCTCTATCCACCCTTGTTCTCTCTGAATCAACTATGGCTTTTGGGCGTATCCTTATGAGTGAAAATGATGGGAACTACAAGGGGCCACTTATGCTCTCATTGAAGAAGGGGTATAAATTAAACAACTCATACTCTTTGCAGTCCTACTCTTCCATTTATTTTTAAGATTCTAGTCACATTGCTGGATACAAAGGAAGAATATCTTCGACATTTATTGGACAGCATGTAAGTGAATCATGTGAAATGCAACTATACAAGGTTTTTAGAGGATGGAACTATGTGTTCATTAGTGCCACCCATATTATTCGGTTAGGTTGCTTCTCTCCTTTTCCTTTTCCATTTTTCTTGAGCTATAGAAACTTACAGACACTTTAGGGGACCAAAACAGATTGTTTCTCTGTCCAGGAAATATCAATTGCTAGATTGCAGAAGTGACACCTAGTTCCAAATTTCCAGTATTTGCAAAAGATCCTATTAGAAGTCTCCATTTTGATCCTGGAAAGCTAATATTTTACATATTTATCTTTTTCTCCTTATGGTGGCTAACTTCTCCTTGTTGAATAATCATTAAGTTCTTCAACATTAAAAATCTGCAAGTTTCCCGACATTTTCTTAAGGAATGCTGGATATGGGTATGGTGATTCGACAAGTAGCTTCAGGCCATTTCAGGGGCTGTATCAATGTATACTGATAGAATTGGCACCTAAATTGACATGTCTTAGGAAAGTAATGATTGTTTTCCATGTCTAGCATTTAACCCAAACTATTATTATTAATAATATATTTCACATTTCTTCAATTGTTTTCTTGTGGTATGCAAAATTATAGTATTTTACAGCACATGATTAGATGATGAAACACCTTGCAGGTCTCTTTTAGTGATGAGAGGAAACAGTGCTGACATGGCAAGGCACGTAATGTGTCCATCCCCTAACAGAAGGGTGAGCATCACCTTCTTTATAGTGAGGCCAGAATCCAACCAATGCCAATCGCCAACTCCTGCCATGACATCTGCAATGACTCTTTGGCAACCTGGTATTGCTAGCCCGTTTGCTTTGCCAAATGGAGCTCTAAGTGGCTATGAGGCTATGGATATGATGCCTAAATGGGGGATATTTCGTGCTCCAATGGTCATGCTAACCCCTATGCGCCCTATGGCACTGAACCCCGGCAAACTTCCTCGAGTTGGGACTGGAGTTTTCTTGCCTTGGAAGGGGCCATCTAGAAAACCTGCAAGGCATCTTCCCCCGCGTGCCCAAAAAGGAAGGCTTATGGCATTACCTTCCCCAGTTGAATCACAAATGGGAGAGTCCACTTCTGAACCAAGCATTACTGTTGAAGGATAGGTACGATCAGTCCCGAAGCAGCCTTGGGTTTAAAGAAATGTGAATGAAGCAATGAGGTTTTCAAGCCTCAGTTATTTGCTCTGGACTGGAGTATTTTATTTTGTTGTACAAACGGGCCCAAGTGCTGCTAGAAGTGTTTGTTTCATTCTTTTTTTTTTCACCTTTTCCCTTTTACTTTCTTTTAGATAGATAACTCTGATCCCATATTTTGTCTTTTAGATAGATAACTTAGAATCTAGTGTTCACAATAGCTTAGTGTGGGTTCCAATCAGCTTAAGGACCTTGGAGAAGTCTAGATTCCGAGTTTGAAGAATGTGAATTATATCGGAGGGCAGAATTTTGTAAGAATGGTCATTTATATTTTCATTTTAGACAAATCAAATCATCATGAGGATGCATGGGTATGATCATCATCCACTTAATTTGCCATTGTTATATGCAAGGATCAGTCTTTCTTGTGGAATATTTTGATTATTTTATTAACATGCGCAGATAAGTAGCCACCTCTAATCTTGATAATTACCTGTTGATACGGTTTCAACTGGAAAAAAAGGAATTGCTCTAAATGCTTCCAGTGAAGGTTGTATACTATTGGGCAATACTCTCTGATCCTCGTCCTTTCATATTATTTTGCATCTTTCTAAAATATCTTATCCGGGATTAATAAATCAATTTTCTGAATTTTGCAATGTTTTAATATATTTCTGGGGTAAATGTATTCACACTACAAAATGTGCACATCTACTTACATCAAATATATAGGTCATTGGTTATTTGTTCCATCATTTGATGCAATAAGAAGAATAGCTTCATGTAAATGTTAAAGAAAACACTACAATAAAATAAATTAGGAACTAACTGGAAAAGTTAGTCAAAGCACAATTTCCCACATGAGGGAGCTATATCCAATTGATTTCAAAATAGACAGATTTACTGGCCACCCATATTAAAAAAGAAAAAAAGAAAGAGATGTCTATAGAAACAGTTGCTTTTCATACATTTAAGATGTAGAACAATGACACTACTACTTCTAAGAAATTTATACAATCACACACTTACATGTATATATCTATGAGAATGCATCAAATATCTCAAGCCTTAGCAGGGTCATCATCATCTTCAATGTCCCAACTCAAGTCTTCTTCTTCATCTTCTGCAGCATTCAGGCGCTTCCTCAAATCAACTTTGCCAGGGCTACCACTCCGAGTAGCCTTCTTTTCATTAATACTACCAAGATCTTCAATCTCATCCCACTCAAGGTCCTCATCCTCCTCATGCCCTGAGTGCTGACTAGCAAGCAATGAAGATTTTCCATCCTCAGCCTTCCTTTCCAATACCACTTTCTTATCAGAATCTGCTGCTGCAGAATCATTCCTGTTCCCAGTGTTATCCAATTCTTCTTTAATAGTTTCCTTGCTTCCATCACCCATCTCTTGAACAACCTCTGATTTCTTGTCAACTTTTGCTTCATCAACAAACTCAACCATCTTGTTCCCAAGTTCCTTACTTTGCAACAAATTATCTCTCTTTTCTACCTTAGACTCCTCCTCACCAAAATTATGCACCTCTTCCACATTCAATATCTCTGTTCCCACCACATTATTAGCATCAAAACCACCATCAACCTCATTCTCAATCACAAGCTGTGGTTTACCTTGATCCACATGCTCCTCCTCCTCCTCCTTCTGATCATCATCTTCAACATCCCAACTCAACTCTTCCTCTTCCCTCGACATTCTTCTCACAAGCCTAGCCCTCACATCCTCAGCTTTCTTTAGCTTATATACCTTATAGTAATACCTATACCAGAAAGTTTCACTATCAACCGTGTTAGGAACAAACCTTTTGTAAACACTCTCCATATCATCAGTCTCTCTAAGAAAACCCTCCATTTCCTCACTCTTCCCTTCCAACGAAAACTCCGATTTCCACATGTTATACTCATCCAAATCCTCAGGAGCTTCCGCGTAAGTGCTAGCGTCACCCTGAATCGCACGAATCTGAGAATCAAACCTACTATACCCTTTCAATTCCAAGCTCTTTTCGGCACCGTTTTTCTTCTTGTTATCTGAATCAGATTCAAGAATCACATCCTTCCCTTGAGATATGATCTGAGCCGTTCCCTTCGCCACGGTGTTTCCGAATTGATCAATGACGTGCCCCACCGTCTCCAGAGAACCCTGTGCAACCTCCATCTCCTTCTTCAAACCGGTGCCGAACTCCTGCAGATCGCGACGGTAAATGTCGATGATCGATTCCGATTTCTCCGTCAAGGTTTTCATCAGACCGCCGAAGTTCCACACTCCGACGCCGTCGCCGTCACCGGCACCGGAAGATTCATCAGATCGGTGCTCCTTAGGCGAGGAATCGCGATCCGGTGCGTCTTGCGATTTGTTGTGATGCGCATTGTCGGAGTCGGAGTCGGATTCGGATCCGGGAGGGTCTGGGTCGTCTGAGAAAACGGATTTGAAGAAATTCATGATGTTTTGAAAAAAGTGGGAAAAAAAGAAGAAAATGCAGAGAGATTGGAGCAACGAAGTGAGGATAAATGTTTTTAGAGTATGTTTGGGGGTGAAGCTAAAGTGCACGTGGGGGACGCAGCAACCATAAGCCATGCCATAATAAGCTCGAAACGTAAGGTTGTTGGATTGTGACACCTGGCAACGAAGAGATTGAGGTCCAACAGCAATGGTTTCCACGCATCCATAACTAATTTTATTGAGTTAATATTAATCTGAAATGCTTCAATAGTGGAGTGGTTTCTACGAAATAATATTGAAAGGCTGATTTTACTCTTTGAATATGTTATTATCGAGCGGATATCTCAATTGCTGATATTTGTTTAGTGGCGGAGTCAGAAAAAATATACAATTGTTGATATTTCTTACCTCAAATATTTTCTTATCTCAATTGTTGATATATAACTAGTGCCAAAAGATCAAGTCAGGTAAAATTCAATCAGGGTTAAGATTGTATTATTTTAAAAAACTCAACAAGTGTCAAACATGTATCATAATTTTTTTAAATTTTTTTAATTATTTTTGAAAATCAGCTGGTACCAAATAGCTTCGCCACTGGTATATATTATGTTTCTAATTATTAGAAATTAATAATAATTAATAGAAAAAAATTCAATTTAAGAAACATGTAGCAATTTCAACCAAGGCTTACTTTTCCCACTCTAGTGTAGCAAGCTAGATATAGAGGGTCCTCCATTTCCATTGAAAGTTGTCTCCTCCCACCCATATTGGTTTTCACCTAGGGGGTGTTTGGTTTAGGAGAAATTTTAAGAATAATAGGGAAATGTTATTGATAGGAAAATGGGGGAGAAGTGAGTTTGATAGGAAAATGTAAAAAAAGTTGTTTGGTTGTAAAAAAATTTACCGGTTTAGGTAACATTTATAAAATCTATGTTTGGTTGTAGGTAAAATATAGATAGGAAAAAAATATAATATTACAAAAATAACCCTCGTCTTTCAAGCGCCTTCTCTCTTTCGCTCTGAGTTTTTGGGTATTAGTGGATTCCACAGTAGCTGATATTGAGAGCTTGAAGGGTCTGGTTTGAAAGGAGAGAGAAGGAAGAGAGGGTGTAGAGAGTTTGTTGAAGCATAGAGAACTCCATAGCAGGAGCACCCCTTTCATCTTCTTTCTACCACAATGGATATTATCGCACCTCTTGGATTAAGAGTTATGTTTTCCTTGTTGCAGATGTACTGAAGATCCTAATGGAGGCTCATCCTGAATTGTCAATGACTATTGATCCATCCAACACCACGGCTTTGCACACAGCTGCAACACAAGGGTATATTGAGATAGTGAAATTTCTATTACAAGCAGATAGTAGCTTGGTTACCATTGCTAGAATATTTATTACAAGCACACAGCTTTGCATTCTGCTGCGAGAAATAGTCATGTGGAGGTTGTGAAAGCACTTCTGGAGAAGGAGCCTGGGGTTGTAACACGGACATTCCACATGATTGCCATTTTCCTTTCACGCGCAAAGTCAGGGTAGACTTGTCTTTTGTTTAGAATTCAGTCTGAGCAATTAGGCAGCTTTCCTTGAATACCACACTGCCCATAGGATAAATTTGGCCGGCTAAATGGACAGAAAACATATGCATCTAGCTTATGTAGGAAACTGAGTTAGGTGGATAAATGTGAAAAAACCTTCAAGCAAACATGGTTAACTTAGATGCCCATCTATCATTTCCCTATCAATCTCAACCAAATCCCTTAACCAAACACCCCCTATAGTCCACACTCCACACCCTTTACGTCTCATCACTCAATATTGTAAAGAAAAGTGTTAGTTGTCAAAGAACATGATACTCCACATAAAACTAAAATATTCACATTGTATTCATTGATTGATGAAAGGAATACAGTGAGGTTATATATTAGCTAAGACGGTAATCGAAAGAAAAAATGGGACACACTAACAAAATGCACACCTCACAGGTGGTGCCTAACAGAATGTACACCTCACTAGCTATTTGTTATTACACGGGTATATCAGTAAAAGTAAAAGAAGAAAAAATACAAAATAAGTAATATATTCTAACAGGCACCCCCAAGATGGAGAGTATATGTTTAAGACTCCCATCTTGGACAACAAAACTGAAAACTTCGATGGCAGTAATGCTTTGGTGAAAAGATCAGCCAGTTGCTTAGAAGAAGGAACAGGGAAAGTCTTCAAGTGTCCTTTGAGAATTTGCTCACGAACAAGGTGACAGTCAATCTCAACGTGTTTTGTGCGTTCATGGAACACAGGATTGGCTGCCAAGTGCAAAGCAGACTGGCTATCACAAAAAAGGTGAGCAGGCCCTAGATGCAAAATTTTGAGATCATTAAACAAAGAAAATAATCATAACATTTAACAAGTGACATGAGCCATGGAGCGGTATTCAGCCTCAATAGAAGATCCGGACACAGTGGTTTGCTTTTTAGACTTCCAAGATATTAGAGAATCACCAATAAACACACAAAATCCAGAAATGGAGCGCCTACTGTCAAGACAAGCAGCCCAGTCAGAATCACATAATGCATTGAGCTGAAGAGAAGCAGAGGAAGAAAAGAATAAGCCTTGTCCAATTGTGTGCTTCACATATCCAAGAAGACGATGAGCAGCTTGAAGATGAGGTTCTCTGGGAGCAAACATAAATTGGCTAAGGTGATTAACAACATATGAAAGATCAGGCCTAGTGATAGTAAGATAAAGTAAGCTTCTAATAAGGCGTCTGTAGAGAGATGGGTCAGAAATGAATCACCAGAATGGAAGGAAAGCTTGACACCAACATCAATTGGAGTGGTTCGTGGTTTGCGTCCCAAATGACCAGAATCTTTGAGAATTTTTAAGGCATAATGTCTTTGACAAACATAAATGCCCTTTACACTGCGTGCCACCTCAAAGCCCAAAAAATATTTCAAAAAACCAAGGTTTTTCAACTTAAATTTGTTGTGTAACAACTGAGTAAGAAGCTGAACCTCTTGAGAATTATTAGAGGCAATAATAACATCATCCACATACACTAAGACAGCAATGAAGGCAGTGGATGAAGATCGAACAAATAAAGAGTAATCAGAGTAAGATTGTAAAAAATCAAGATGTAATAAGGTGGAAAAGAATTTTGCAAACCATTGACGTGAAGCTTGACGAAGACCATAAAGTGATTTGTGAAGGCGACAAACAACATTGAGAGGCGGATTGGAGGACTGAGATGAAAATCCAGGGGGAAGATGTGTAACATCCCGAGCACTGACGAGGGCAGGGAGTGATCGCCGGTGCAAAGAGGCAAGGATAAGGAGCGGCTTCTGACAGGCTTCCAGTGCGGGGTTACATGCATGAATGAATCGAATCGACACCGGAAAGAGAGGGATTCCAAAAACTGTGCAGGTACGAGACTGCACAGTTTGGGATAGCTTATAACAATTAATTGCTACTATTTATACTAACAAGATACATCTACTTTTCGGTAGCCCGGATCGGAAGAACTCCACAGTTAACCGTGCTTGACTTAGAGCAATTCTGGGATGAGTGACCTCCTGGGAAATTTTTTCGGGAAGTGTGCGAGTGAGGAAAAAGCACACTGAAAAGTCTCGTGTTAGTATGTGGGGATAGTCATTGATTCTTGAAGTGACCGAGCGTTACAAGTGGTATCAGAGCAGAGCCTCTCATCCAGTACGGTGTGGTTCGAGGACGAACCAGGCGGAAGCTGGTGGGCATGTAACATCCCGAGCGCTGACGAGGGCAGGGAGTGATCGCCGGTGCAAAGAGGCACGGACAAGGAGCGGCTCCTAAAAGGCTTCCAGTGCGGGGTTACATGCATGAATGAATCGAATCGACACCGGAAAGAGAGGGATTCCAAAAACTGTGCAGGTATGAGACTGCACAGTTTGGGATAGCTTATAAGAATTAATTGGTACTATCTATACTAACAAGATGCATCTACTTTTCGGTAGCCCGGATCGGAAGAACTCCACAGTTAAGCGTGCTTGACTTGGAGCAATTCTGGGATAGGTGACCTCCTGGGAAGTTTTTCCGGGAAGTGTGCAAGTGAGGAAAAAGCACACTGAAAAGTATTGTGTTAGTATGTAGGGATAGTCATTGATTCTTGAAGTGGCCGAGCGTTACAAGATGCATATAAACTTCCTAAAGCAATTCGCAATGAAAGAATGCATTATTAACGTCAAGTTGAGTAAGGGACCAATTGTTAACAGCAGCTAAGGCAAGAATAACCTTGACAGTTGTAATTTTAGCTACAAGGGAGAAGGTTTCTAGAAAATCAATTCGCTCTTGTTGTGTAAAACCTTTAGCAACCAGACAGGCTTTATACCGTTCAAGTGATCCATTCGAATTGTACTTGACTTTGTAGACCCACCTGCAACCAACAACTTGCTTGCCTGGAGGAAGAGAGATGACAGACCATGTGTTGTTGAGTTCAAGAGCTGAAAGTTCTACAGCCATTGCATCCTGCCATTTCGGTAATTGAGAAGCTTGGGAGTAAGTAGTAGGCCAAAATGAGAAGATATTGAGTTGATAAATGTATTATGTGAAGGAGAGAGCCTGTCATAGGAAAGGGAGTTGGATAAGGGATGATTGGTGGAGGAAGAGCAAATATAATCTTGAAGATAAGCAGGAGGGAGTCTAGTTCTCTGAGGTCTCAAGGAAGTAGAAAGGGAGGGGGAATCTGCAATAGGAGAAGAAATGGCAAATGGAGGAGGTAAGTTAGAAAGTTCAATGTGAAAAGATTGGGAAGGCAGGTTGTGGGCAAAAGGAAAAATTTGTTCAAAAAATACAACACCTCGAGAAATAAAAAATTTGTTAGATTGCAAATCAAGAAGTTTGTATCCTTTATAACCCAGAGGATATCCAAGGAAAATTGCAGGTAAGGCACGGGGGGAAAATTGTGTCGAGTCTTTGCAAGGGTTAAGCTATAGCAAAGTCAGCCAAAAACCCGAAGATGAGTATAAGAAGGAGGCTTATGACAAAGTAATTCAAAAGGAGTTTTGGAACGAGGAAGAGGGGAAGGTGTTTTGTTAATGAGATAAGCGACTGTAAAGACACA